CGTTGTTGGTAGGACGGGAGGCTGAGTGTCGAAAAGCCGCTGAAGCTGAGCCGGAACGATACTGAGTGAAAGCAGGGCCTCCCGGAGAGGGAACTTCCGATTCTCCTATGCTCCCCCCGAGTGCTAACCGGCACACAGAGGCAGATGCAGAGAGCACCCCGACACGAGCAGGAGGACACCATGCAGCTGGATTCGTGACAATACCACTACAGATGCCGTTGTTTGGGCTGGTGCCTGTAATATTGGATGGCATTGTGGCGACGGGAGCCTCTGGGCTGGTGAGTAGGGGCTGAAGATGGGCATACTGAAGATATGCAGCCTTGCCAGTTTGAATGGAACTAGATGATCCTCCGACTGTTGTAAATGATTGCAGGCCACCAAGTTGCCTATCTAAAGGAAAAGATGGCTCAGAAGATACTGGAACACTTTCTGGACTCATGCGTATCTGTTTAGCCGGACGAGACCGTCGAAGACGATCATTAGATTGGCGACGACTGGATAACTTTCTCTGCTGGTTCAGCTTAGCAGAAGCCACGAGTTTTGATCGAAGAGCAGCCAAGGGTCGACTATCGTTGTAACTCGATTGGCTTGAACTATGACTAGAACTACTGTCACTGCTGCTGTTGCCAGTACTAGGACTACTTGGTAAACCAGAAGACGGCCGGCGTTTGGTTCCCGGCCTTGAGCTAAGTGCTAGCTTATTCGTTTGTCTACGACGCGATCTGGGTTTAGAAGAGAGTTTTGAGGAAATTGAGACCGAAGGCAAAGCGTCCACGGCACAACTAGCTGCAGCTGCGGAACGCCGGACGCGGCCTACAGTGGCTCCAGTAGTTGGGCTATTGGATAATCTAACGGTGTTACGTGTCCCATTGCAAGAAACATTTTTCGCCACCTTAGATGAAGTGTTCGCCGATTCTTCTGTTTCATTTGCCCCGGACACCATTAGCAATTGAGAGGCTCGAGTAGGCCTACGACTACGCCTCGTTGGACTGGGAGTTTCCGGTTCCGACTTCGAATTGCTCGAATGAAATAATGAATTTGAGTTTGTCTCTACAGGGGTGGCGATTTCGCCTGCAGTGGAATCAAGAGCCTTTAGACTATTAGTAGTAGACGCGGTGGTTCGGCAAATCTGAAGTGAGTCCTGCTTCGAACCAGGCGAAAATGGTGCAGTTTTCTTCGACTCGATAGGCTCCATCACAGTTGCATTACTTACAGTGTTACTATGATCAGCAGAAGTAACGGCGACATTCATCGTTTGAGCAGGCGAAGAGTCGTTTGCAGCTGCAATGTCCTCCAGAAAGAGACCAGTCTTTGGACAAAACCCGAGATAAGCCTCCATTTCCAGAAACTCCTTGATAATTGGAGCTACCTAAAATCGTAGGGCAAGTACGGAAAACAAAGAGAAAATGAGGTTACTTAACGATAATCGCCGGGAGAAGATACGATTTTTATTTGTGATACGTAATGATAACAGACGGTAAAAAAAATAAGATGTTCATTGAGTACATTTATATGCCGCCAATTCCACTCGCGGCCCGTAAAGCAGAGGGCCGGCGTCTGTGATCGTGAAGTATACTCGTTTGTGTTTAATTGGTGATGAACATGAATCATGCAGTAAAACAACAATATGCCCCATTCCTAAGTCTCACCATATTTACTTGCTTTTCGCATTCATTCCAAAGGAACTGAAAAATGCATGAATGGATCCGGAGAAAATTTAGCCTTGGCATCCTTTCAAACCACCTTAACCCTATCAGTCATAGCAGTTCGAATTGTAATGTAGAAAAACTGGGTTACGAAAGATCCCTTAATATAATTATGTTGGAGTACCTTTCAATTAGTTTGAAGAGGCGAGTAGAAGGGATTTGTACGTTGGCCTCACTGGAAACTGTAAGGGGATTTGAGCCGTGATTGTAGATTTGTGCAAATAGGTAGGTGCCCCCTTAGGTAGACCAAATTGTACTATAAAAAATGAATATGTTTGAAGCCGGTCATCTTACTTTCCTCTGCGTTTTGGTAAATTATCGTTAAGCACGGTGTCCTGCTCTGACGATGCTCGTCACATGCCAGAAGAAAGCTTAGCAAGGATTTATCGGGGTCGCAGGGTGGTGCGCCAAAGACCTATTCGCTCAAATTTACAATAACACCTTCAAGACAATCCCTCTACGAGTTCCGATCAGACCAACTTACGAATCCATTCTACTCGCCTCTTAAAATGAAATTAAAGGTACTCCAACACCAAGTTCATATTGCTACCTGTTTATAGAAATCGATAAGAGTTAACGACTCAACGCTCAATCGGACACAGGCTTTGGACAATATTCACCAAAATATCATATACCTTACAAGTTAAAACTGGATCTTAAAAAACTGAGATGCCCTTGAAAAAGCAAGAGAATAAGTTCATGAGATTTTAAATCTTATTTTTAATATAAAGATCATATAGTCTTCAAGAAAGCTCGCATGAGTATCTTCAATTACTAGGGGATCCATGAAGAAAAAGCTTGCAAAGTTTCACAAGAAAGCGTGCTGAAAAGGAAAACCAATTCAAGCAAATAATAAAGACTAACCTCTTCACGTAACTTGATCGCAGCCTTGCAGTAGACAGAGGACTTCTGGTTGTATAAAAAGCAGTTGGATAAAGTCAAATCGAAATCGACTACGAGCTCAGAAACAGATGAATAAGCCATCGAATCAACTTTTTCTTGCATCAAAGAGAAGTTCATTGGTTGCTTAACGATGGATTGATAATCGGGAGCAATATTCTCTCCAACCGGATGCAGAAAGAAGCCCTGTCGATCCTTTTCCTGAGCGAAGATAATAATAAGAATGTCATAGAAAAAGAGTTGATAGTAAGATAAACTATTCAGTATGATGTCTGCCACATCTGCAAAATCAGAAATTACGGATACTATGTGCGAAAGTTGGCTAGACTTAAACGCTTAATTCTGGAAAATAAAATATTTTAACAACAATATTTATAACTTTGATAAAAAATTTATTCATTGGGCTTAGACGATAACGTTATAATCAAGGCTAATTTTCAGAATTTCCCGTCTGAACCAGTACCTGAATTGCTTCCAAAAGCCGTCTTAGCAAAACTGTGAGGGGCTGCGTACGCAGTTCCGTTTCAGCAGCAAATATGCGAAAAAGATCGCGTTTCACGCGCTCCCGTTTCCGCGTAAGCTCTGAAAGAAGACGAGCTTTCTCGAGATCCTGACGCAACTGTTGCCAGAACTTGAGTTGTGCACGCATCCTTTGTGCTTCTTCATCACCAGCAGCGGCTGCAGCTGCCTACATATATAGAAAGCGATAAACACAATAGAGTCAGAAGTAAGTTAAGATAGCAAGAGTTTAAAATACCCAAGAAATTAATGCCACAATCTGTTACAAACATGGTAAATGAGTAACATAGGGTAAACTAAACGAGTGTACAACAACTAAAAAACGAAACAAAAATCGTGGTAAATTATAATCCTTATGAGTGAAAAGTTAGATTAAGAAATAAATAAGTATTTTCTATACAGCACCGAGTAAAGTAAAGAAAGAGAACTCGATATAGAAAGTATTCCATAGCTCAGTATACCGTCTAGCAAGATGAGTTGAAAATGTAGTTTATGCTAAAGTGAACGAATATATTTCATTTATTAAAAAGGACATAACATTGCTTCGTATAGAAAAAGAACAGGAGATATAACTTTTGAATCCGGATTTCAAGCTTATGAAAGAATGGTCAAGGGATTATTGTTAATCAAATTATGTCGTTCATGAAGATCGAAATAAATTGGAAGTCAGTTAAAGAAGATGAGATATTATTGAAGCCACTTAACCTTGTTTTTGTAACTTGGTCATATTGGCAAGAAGACCTAGAGGAACACACTTTGACCAGAGTCCATAGAATGCATGATAATCTACAGAGTCGGATCGTGGACTTGGTACATTCCCAGACGTTTCGCCGGCATACTCAGTGAATCTTGCCATTCTGGGCACCAAACCACAACTCGTCAAATAAACTATTGAAATCAATCCCTTGACCAAAATTCTGCTGAAATGGTTGTGCTATCACTCCTTTTCTGTCCTCGCCCTATCAAAACTTCTGACTTGTTTATATTCCACTTCTCAGGAGATGTGCCCTTTGGAGAATTTACCGAGGCGTCATCACACCAGCTGTTTGCCTTTTTTCCCTCCCTTTCGAGTGGCTCATCCGACTCGAGCCTCCTGCCCGGATCTGCCTCATGAACCGGTAGATCCGTTTTTTCTCTTTCTGATTGACTGATTTTATTCGGTTCCAGTCCCAGGGCATTTGTTACTCGAGGCGCTATTTCTCAAGCCCCCAATGGCACGTAAAATGTCGCTTCACCTCGTCGTGCCTTTACCTTTCTTGCATAAACCTCGTACTGCCATTGGCTCCTCACGACCCGTATGTTTTTTGTGTTACTTCTCTCGGGTATCTGCTACCAAGAGATAACCGAATAAACTTTTCACATTTTTCATTGCAGAATTACACGTCCTTCAATTGTAGGCTTCTGATTATCATGCTCCTCAGTAATGCTATTTTCATTTTGTAGCTGGGATGAGACTCGAAATTGATACCCGAGAGAAGTGATACAAAGAAACATGCGGGCCGTGAAGAGCCAATGGTAGGACGGGGTTTATGGAAGAAAGGTAAAAATGGATAAAAACTCACAAAAGCGAATATGCCTCCATTCCTGCGAACCAGCTCAAAAATTACGACCAATATTAGGAAAATGGAATATTCAGGTGACCACGAATGAAAAACAATATTTTACAAGTCTACTCAGGCAAAATATGAAGGCGGACAAAGTGGATTGCTCGTAAGTTTACTGCATAGCATGCGGAGCCTACAAACAGAAATATATTGGGCAAGTAGGGAGAAAAATCAGCATAAAAATCAAGGAACATAAAAAGTTCTGCAGGAAAATGGATATGGAAAGATCGGCTATAGCGGAACACATCGCACAACTGGACACGAGATCAATTGGAAGGAAACTAAAAGGATAGTCTCATACGGTGAAAACACACGGAAGCGGAAGATTAAGGAGGCAATTGACACCCTTGAGGAAAAAAATTAATGAACAATAGATTGGGAGAATGCAGAGTTAGTGATGACTTGGCTATTGCATAATCAAACCGGCAGAAAATAAGAATACAAGACAAGCAAACAGAAGGGGCCTGGATCGAGGATTCGATGTAAACCAGATGAAAATAGATCGCAAGGAAGTTTCAGAAATCAAATAAAAACGTTCTCAGTGAGTGTAGTCAACTTGAAGAAAAAAGTACAACATTGGGGACCTGACGCCTACGTGACTAGGAAAAAGGATTAAGTCAAAGAAATAAGGTATTATGACTAAAGTGACTAATAATTCACTCGAGGTACAACAGGCGACCAGAGATAGATGCCCACAGTTAGCTCAGGGTACACGGGCTTGATCAGAAACGATAAATAAAGACAATGCCTAATATTAACGTATTCGAATTATTAAAGCTGTTGGCAGTGTCATAACTTAAATTATTACTTTCAAAGTTCAGAATGGTACATATTTTTGGATAAATTCAAGATGGTAGTCTCGAAGCTCTGCTTATAAACGAAAAATAAAATTCACTTATCCTAAATATGGAAGTGGAACCTCGGAAAATAATTGATTTTACATACTACTTAATTTATAAAAGTAGAATTGTTAAAACAAGTAGCTAATCAAATTTTAAGTAAATGTACAATCAATGTATATTTCAAAGTTGATTATCCTTCATATACGAATAAAAAGGGGGTTTCGATGAAGATCCTGAGATAAAATTATTGTAGAGACCCATTTCGTATGGAAGTACACGATGAAGAGATTCATGGGTCAATCCCACCATAAGAAGCAGGCTGATTCGCCGTCTGTTGTTAATAGGTCGCTCAGATTGAGACA